GGTACTGTATGATGGTGGTACTGTATGTTGGTGGTACTGTATGATGGTGGTACTGTATGTTGGTGGTATTTAAGTCAATGAAACGAAAGCACCAGGTATTATTTAATATATGTATATAAAGGTAACGTCATTCTGGCTTTAAATTATTATTATTTTTATTATAATTACAGATAATAATATTAATAATAATATATTTTTCCCCATGTCACTTGGAAAGTTAGTTTTGTAATTAACAACCAAGTCCTGCACGTTACAGGTACAGTTCTCTGTATCAAAGTGGGGGTTCTGTATTGTGAGGGAATATTATGGAGTATTTTTATATATCAATATGTTAGAATGTCAGTATATATATACGCAAAATACGCTACATAACTTGGCGTATTTCGGGCGGTAAAGGCAACGGAATTGCTCTCTTTGTGTGTTGGGAACATGGAATTGACTGGTTAGCAATTGAGTAACTTGGGTCACAAGATTGTCGCTTGCTTAGTTAAACGAACTATGGGGTTCATTTCCTGAACCCATTATGTGCCTATTCTTGAGGTTAGCTTGAGGTGATTTTGGGGCTTAGTGTCCCCGTGGCCCGGTCCTCGACTAATCCTCCTTTTTGTTGCACACCAATAGGAAGCAGCCCGTAGCAGCTGTCTAACTCCCAGGTACCTATTTTACTGCTAGGAAACAGGGGCATCAGGGTGAAACGAAACTCTGGCCATTTGTTTCCGCCTCCACCGGGGATCGAACCCGAAACCTCAGGACTATGAATCCGAAGCGCTGTCCACTTAGCTGTCAGGCCCCTACCTAACTTTCCCTCTCACTAGATGCGACGCCATCTTGAATTTTGTCCGACAACTTTAGATAAGACTGTGGATATGAATTTCAAATTAGTGAAGAGTACTACATTACAGATCCAATTTAGGAGTGGCCAAAGTGCTGTACTAAGTACTTCTCTTAGGTGATGCACAAGCCTCCGTTGAGGTTATCTTGAGATGATTTCGGGGCTTTTTAGTGTTCCCGCGGCCCGGTCCTCGACCAGGCCTCCACCCCCAGGAAGCAGCCCGTGACAGCTGACTAACACCCAGGTACCTATTTACTGCTAGGTAACAGGGGCATAGGGTGAAAGAAACTCTGCCCATTGTTTCTCGCCGGCGCCTGGGATCGAACCCAGGACCACAGGATCACAAGTACAGTGTGCTGTCCGCTCGGCCGACCGGCTCCCCCGGTAGGAGGTAGTTTTCTTGCGCATTTGGCTACAACTTCTTTTGCCACATCTTATAAAAGTCAGACTGTCATCAATTTCCACTCCTAATATAGCAATTGATGGCTTGCATATCAGTGATTTTCTTATCAAGTTTCTTGACTCAAATATATATAGTGGCGCCTCTGTGAGCTAATCATCAACTGTTTTTACGGGCTCACCATAGCCCGTGCTACTTGGAACTTGTTCCGAGTAGCTGAATCTATAACAACAACAACATCAACTGTTTTCATTATTATTATTATTGTTGTTGTTTTTGCTTTTCTTGTTATTGTAAAATCTATACTATTTTCCTCTCTACTGTTGCCGTCTCGCTCGGGGCTTAAACTTTATAAGTGAAGCAAATGTTGACATCTTTTTAGGAGACTGAATCTGAATATTCTCAGCGTCGCTCCTTTCACCCCCGCGAGTCAGAGGCGGAGAGTGTTCCATTATTATCTGTCCCGGGCCCGCCTCTGCCCCCTTCCCTCTCCCTGGGGTACGTGCCTCCCAGCCTCCTAGCTTCTCTTTTTTTAGGAAATAAAAGCTCTTTTGGGCGTGTTCCCTTTCAGGGAGCTTTCTTGAAGAAGTGTAGCGGAAGTCTGAGACTTTTCCTCCTACGTGATCTGGATTCAGAATGGTTCTCTCTCTTTCTCTCCTGTGAAGTTTATTTTCTGGTCTATGGAAGTTTCTTTCTATTTTCTTCCTTGCTTTCTCTCTCTCTCTCTCTCTCTCCTTCTATCCTTCTCTTTCTATTACACACACACACACACACAGTCACTCTTACTCTCACTCTCTTTCCACCTTTCGCGCGCTCTCTCTCTCTCTCTCTCCTTCTATCCTTCTCTTTCTATTACACACACACACACACACAGTCACTCTTACTCTCACTCTCTTCCACCTTTCGCTCTCTCTCTCTCTCTCTCTCTCTCTCTCTCTCTCTCTCTCTCTCTCTCTCTCTCTCTCTCTCTCTCTCTTCTCTCTCTCTCTCTCTCTATTACACACACACACACACACACACAGTCACTCTTACTCTCACTCTCTTCCACCTTTCGCGCTCTCTCTCTCTCTCTCTCTCTCCCCTACAGGTAGCAGTAGTACCAATCGTACTTCAGAGTTATCAATGTCACAAAAGTGAACATAGTCTCACAGTGTTGCACATGTCAGCGTTGCAACAGTCTCAACATCTAAGAATTTCCCAACCACTCTTAAGCCATCCAAAAATACAACGTTTAGGAGAAATGAGATTGACGCAAACCGGATATAGAGACACTCGCTTAGTGAGAGTCATAGTCTTAGCGTCACTGGTAACCACAACGTAACAAAGAACGTTTTAACGCAATTGCGTTTTTACGTTGAAAACTTAAGACAAGGCAAGGGAAGGGAACTATCAGGGACAAGCACCAAGCCATTACGACTATATAGCACTGGGAAGGGGGTCAGGATAAGGATTTGGGATGGGACGGGAGGGAAAGGAATGGTGCCCAACCACTTGGATGGTCGGGGATTGAACACCGACCTGCATAAAGTGAGACCGTCGCTCTACCGTCCAGCCCAAGTTATATAGTTGTGTTCGTGGACGAGGCTACTATATAAGTTTTAATCTAAGCCAATCGATAAATCTAACACACATTAAATCACTCAAAACATTGATATAAAAGACTATATTGATGTTAATATTAAATTGTTACTTGCTTTAGCTAAATGAACGCGTCGGGGTGTTCAGTTCCTGAACCCAGTATGTGTATATATATTCTTTTCCACTACCACCCACGAGATGAGTATGGGGTTCAACACCACCCACGGGATGGGTATGGGGTCCAACACCGCCCACGGGATGGGTATGGGGTCCAACACCGCCCACGGGATGGGTATGGGGTCCAACACCACCCACGGGATGGGTATGGGGTCCAACACCGCCCACGGGATGGGTATGGGGTCCACCACCACCCACGGGATGGGTATGGGGTCCCACACCGCCCACGGGATGGGTATGGGGTCCACCACCGCCCACGGGATGGGTATGGGATCCAACACCGCCCACAGGATGGGTATGGGATCCAACACCGCCCACAGGATGGGTATGGGATCCATCACCGCCCACAGGATGGGTATGGGGTCCACCATCGCAAACGGGATAGGTATGGGATCCAACACCGCCCACGGGATGGGTATGGGGTTCAACACCGCCCACAGGATGGGTATGGGGTCCACCATCGCCCAAGGGATAGGTATGGGATCCAACACCGCCCACGGGATGGGTATGGGGTCCACCACCGCCCACGGGATGGGTATGGGGTCCACCACCGCCCACGGGATGGGTATGGGATCCACCACCGCCCACGGGATGGGTACGGGATCCAAAAATAAATGAACAAACTAAAATAATGATTCCTTAACATTTCTGTATAGGAACAGCAGTCCCATTAAGACTGTGATTCACCCCATGTCCTCATGGCAGTTTAGAATGTTTACAGAGTTTATTAACTTCTAAGGGAGTCTGTAGCGTCGTGTTGGGCCGCCAGGGGTAACGAGGGGTTGATGGCGCGGGGTTTCACGTAAATGTACATTCCGTGTAGTGATTAATGGTGAGAGATAGTGAGGCGGGGTATGTGTGCCCGTGGGGTGGGCAGACCCTCTTTCCTGGGGCATCTCACACACGGCTCCGGAACACATATATGCACATACACACACGGCTCAGGAACCTGTACACCAGTTGATTGACAGTTGAGAGACGGGACCAAAGAGCCAGAGCTCAACCCCCGCATGAACAACTAGTGAGTACATACACACACACACACACACACACCACACACACACACACACACACACACACACACACACACAGGGGCCCGATGGCTGAGTGGACAGCGCTCTGGGGTCGTAGGTATAAGGACCTGGGTTCGATCCCCGGCGGAGGCGGAAACAAATGGGCAGTTTCTTTCAATCTAGTGCCCGTGTTCACCTAGCAGTAAATAGGTATCTGGGTGTTAGAGAGCTGCTACGGACTGCTTCCTGGGGATGTGTGTGTGTGCGTGTGTGTTAGAGAAATATAATAGAAGAAAATAGATTGATTGGAAAGACGGCGTCCAAGAGCTAATAGCTCGATTCTGAAGATACAAATAATAAATTCACACACACACACACACTATTTCTATATATTTTCCTATGACTCGCATGGTAAATGCAAGGATATATATATATATATATATATATATATATATATATATATATATATATATATATATATATATATATTATATATATATATATATATATATTAAATATATATGTGTGTTTATGTATCTTGTCCGGAGGAAAAGACAATATTTCGTACGAATATTTTATTTACTTTTTCGACTATCGTCAGCCATATAATCCATACATTCGCAATTATATAAAAAATCATTTATATGTACCACAGTAACATGCTATATAAATTCTTTGCCTCCATCGCTTTACATATTTATATTGATTTATATTTAAATTGTAAGACGTGAGACTGCTTAACCTTAGCTTGTTGGTCTTAATGCGATCTTACGCTCACAATACGACGTATTAGTACACAGTAAAGCACCGTGATTCTGACGTTTTGTATGCATCGACCCCTGTAGGTTAGTTGGGTTTCTTGGGTTTGTTCACAAACAGTTGCATTTTTGACGGAGTGGTCAATCGAGAGAACGATGTTGAAAGTTCTCTCGATTGAAAGAAAGAAAAGAAAGTCTAAGTTGCTTATAACCCATCATGTGTGCTCTTTCCCTTGGCGCAGGGTACGAGTGGGTGGGCTGGAAGAACGACTCCCGCCAGGCCCAGCCCGTTGAGATCACCTTCGAGTTCGACTCCGTCAGGAACTTCTCCGCTGTTCACATCTACGCCAACAACTTCTTCACCAAGGACACCCAGGTAGGTCCTTTGTTTACATGTTCACCGAGTACACCCAGGTAAGATGGCGTCCTTCCTTGTTTATCTAGGTGTCCTTGGTGGAGATGTAAAGCCCTTCACCAACCACCAATAAGACACCTTGATGGGTCCCCCTGCCTATGACATCTGCACTAAGGCAACTCCTTGAGGTTACCTTGAGGTGTTTCCGGGGCTTAGCGTCCCCGCGGCCCGGTCGTCGACCAGGCCTCCTGGTTGCTGGACTGGTCAACCAGGCTATAACTCAGGTTTCCTCTTGCCACATCTACATTAAGAACACCTAGCTCACCACTACATTAACCCAGGTGACTCTGTTAACCACATCTACACTCAACACATGCCGCAAGCACACATGTTGGGACCTGAAAGATGAACTTCTCCTGGCCAGGATGAAGTTAGAGGGAGCTCTGATGGAGGCCCATAGCGATGCTGACGTGGATCCAACTATACCCCCAAACACTTTCTACTGAAACCCAATAGTCAAATTAACTTCAGGCTCGATCATTAGAGCCAAATGTATCGAATCATTAGAACAAATGCTTTTAGTATATTTCATTTCCCACCTCCGTGTACGGAGGTGTCCAGCAAAGCCAAGTATTGTCTCGCTCTGGACAGCTTTACGGCGCTCGTTATCGTCCAGTGCAATTTTCTTTGATGTTCTACTGAGTGAGACGACAAGGGCTGGAGGGTAGTATAGTATATAGGCGATTAACGAGATAATTAATGGAGCTTAACAACTTATGGATGGTTTTACGGTGTGATGCGATAGGAGAGGGCGGGGGGGGGGGTGAGATGGAGAGATGTGGTAAATAGTAAGGGAGGTTAGGGTGGCGAGGCCAGGTACATAGATTCGATCCCATGGGAATGCCTCAGTATTTTTCTTTCAATGTTATATATATATATATATATATATATATATATATATATATATATATATATATATATATATATATATATATATATATATATACTTTTCTTTACATAACTGAGGTTGTGGAAAGCAGTCAAATTGGGTTAATAATTAACAGGGACACGATGATAATCAAAATGGTGTTTAAAGCACAATTAGACTTGTAGCAGTCATGTTCCTTCAGGCAGCCGCTATCTTATCTGAAGAGCCAGGTGGTCTCTCAAGGTTGTGAGAGGGGGAGATTACTGCCTTGAGCTGCCAGTGATAGGTGTTCTTCACCCAGTTCTCTGTGTGTGGCAGGTGTTCTTCACCCAGTTGTCTGTGTCTGGCAGGTGTTCTTCACCCAGTTGTCTGTGTCTGGCAGGTGTTCTTCACCCAGTTGTCTGTGTGTCTGGCAGGTGTTCTTCACCCAGTTCTCTGTGTGTGGCAGGTGTTCTTCACCCAGTTCTCTGTGTGTGGCAGGTGTTCTTCACCCAGTTCTGTGTGTCTGGCAGGTGTTCTTCACCCAGTTCTCTGTGTGTGGCAGGTGTTCTTCACCCAGTTCTCTCTGTGTCTGGCAGGTGTTCTTCACCCAGTTGTCTGTGTGTGGCAGGTGTTCTTCACCCAGTTCTGTGTGTGGCAGGTGTTCTTCACCCAGCTGTCTGTGTGTGGCAGGTGTTCTTCACCCAGTTCTCTCTGTGTCTGGCAGGTGTTCTTCACCCAGTTGTCTGTGTGTGGCAGGTGTTCTTCACCCAGTTCTGTGTGTGGCAGGTGTTCTTCACCCAGTTCTCTGTGTGTGGCAGGTGTTCTTCACCCAGTTCTCTGTGTGTGGCAGGTGTTCTCGAGGGCGAGGGTGCTGTTCAGCGTGGGCGGGGAACACTACCACGAGCAGTCAGCTGTTGAGTTCGAGTACGTGGTGGACCGGATCTTCGAGCACGCCCGCAACGTCACCATCAGACTCCACAATGCCGCCGCCAAGTTCGTCAAGCTGCAGCTCTTCTTCTCCCTCAGGTGGATCCTCATCTCCGAGGTCGCCTTCGACTCAGGTCAGTCTTTAAGGGTTACTGATGCTGCTACAGCATCTGCCGCTGATGCTGCTACGGCATTTATGACCGAAGCTGGATACTATCTGCCAGTTATAATAATACAGTTACTATTGGTATTGTCAAAGGAAGTTAAAAGTTATGGTTCAATTCAGTAAATGTACTGTTTCTCTGATTACTGATTTGAGGTAGGTCATGGCTCTATTGTATATAATTTCTTGGTGTTCTTAAGTACAGCCAGAATTTAAAATAGGATTGATTTATGTTCATATAGCATTATGTGTCAATGGAACTGACTCTGAGCGTTTTCTCCCCTCTCCAGAACCGTGTCGGTGTAATATGACAGAGGAAGCCCCGCCCTTGGCTTCAACGGAAGCTAGCGAGAAGGCTGTTCCTGTGGTTCCTGCCCACACTACATCTTCGGGCTTCCTGGTGGGGGGACTGGTGACTCTCGGCGTGGTGTTTGGGGTCGTCCCAGTGGCCCTTTGCGTCCTCTACTACCGCATGAGGCTCGTTAAGAAGACCAGCAAGTCTTCACCCTCCAAGGAGAACGGTGTCGATACCAGGAAGGTCTCCATGAAGATGAAAGATCTACACATCAATATGAACCTCTCACAGTTGTCGAATGGCTACTCTCGGGCGAAGGGAAATCTCTACGGGCACGTGGCGATGGAAGAGGAAGGTGGGTCGGTGTACCAAGAGCCTTACAAGGGACCATTACATAACCCCGGCTACCACACTCTAGGTCCCGCTATGGCCACATCGGACACGCCGTTCAAGTGTCCTTTGCCTCTGGACACCGACGATTCGGTGGACTATGCTGTGCCTGGCATGAATGTGACGCCTCCCCCGCCGTTTTCCGACGTCCGTTCCCCGGCTCCGCCTGTTCCTCTAACGCGGCCACCGCTGGCAAAGGTCATAGGTCAAGAACACGCTAACCTCTCGTCTCCGACGCCGCCAATACCACCGCCTCCAACACAACACTATTTCACAGCCTCTCAAGTGTGTCAAACTGTCAACATTCAGGGTGCTACAGGAAGTGTCATATATGCCGTGACTGATGCCTCCGAGCTGAGAAATGCTCAGTCAATCCCTGAAGTCGGAAGGCACAACCTACGTGTCTTGGAGACGATTAGTGAGGGCGCTTTTGGCACAGTCCAACTCTGTGAGGTCAAAAACACTTCTAGAGACGGATCGCAAACGTTAGTTCTAAAGACTCTCGATACTAGAGTTGACAACGAAGTTAAGGAAGGTTTCATACAAGAAGCTCATGTGCTTAGTTGCATTGACGACCCAAACATTGCACGGCTGGTTGGTATGACCACCCGCTCTGAGCCTCTGTGTATACTGCAAGAGTACCTCGAATATGGGGACCTCTATGAGTTCCTGCAAAGACACGGCCCTGAGAACTCCACGATAGCACAAAGAGCAGTTTTCAAAGACAGCAGCGACAGCCCTCTTCTAAGTTATGGTGCTCTGGTGTACATAGCTTCTCAGGTGGCCTCTGGAATGAAGCACTTGGAAAAACTAAATGTGGTTCACCGAGATCTGGCTATCCGAAACTGTCTCGTGGGTCGAAGTCTTCATATTAAAGTATCGGACTTGGGAATGAGCCAAGCAAAATACCACAGAGACTATTACCATCTGAGTGAAGACCATGCGATGCTGCCCATCAGATGGATGGCATGGGAGTCTATCCTCCAGGGCCGGTTCTCTACCAAGAGTGACGTGTGGGCGTTCGGAGTGACGCTGTGGGAGATCCTGACGATGGCCCGTCAGCAGCCCTACGACGAGCTGAGTGACGACGGCGTGCTGGAGAACATCTCTCACTGCTACCACGGCGACGGCTCTGGCATGATGGTGTTACCGCAGCCTCCCCTCTGCCCCCGCGAGATGTATGACATGATGACCGCATGCTGGAGACCCAACGACCGCCAGCGTCCCCCCTTCTGGGAGATCCACTTGTTCCTCCAACGGAAAAACCTGGGTTATGCCCTCGACTATCTGGACTGAGGAATCCTATGCCCTTCTTGGATGTCACGCTCCTATAATGTTGTGAGCCTAATGTTCCTGCTATGTAGTCTTGGAGTTATACCATCGACCAACCAGTCAGACATTCTGTAGCGTTCCAGATAACTCCTCCTACGTAACATCCTGTCCTGAACCATTGAGTGCAAAACGGTGTGTTTTACAGGATCCAATATTTCAAACAAATCCATGGCTTTATCCAACCGAGAGGACTCGTACACAAAATCTACTAGACAGATACTGTCACTAGGATACAGGAAGGATTACTATGAATGTATGGTTCCCTCACTGGCAGGTCCTCCCAATGTTTACATCTCTCAGCTAATGGCGCCCATGAGATCTTTCCTATGTTTCCAAACTGGCCGGGTATTTGAGGCCTTGAATTGGAAACCCGTGTGCAGAATACCGTATTGTGTTGTAGGGCTACCCCTGAAACAAGTATAGAGGCTACATGACCTCTACAAACATTTCATTTTTTCAGTTAAACATCGTTAGCCACAAACTGACACGTGGTGAGGTCTGTGATTAATCTGTGATATATTATAGTCAGGGAAATGGCCGTCAATATGGCGCCCAGTGAAATATTTTCTGTAATATTAGTTGTTTGTGCTACGCTAACTTTGTGAAAGCTTCAACTACTGACGCTCAACTTATCACTATTTTCAAGTGAAAAAAATAAAAACATGTATCTATCAATATTTTGTTAAACAAAACTTGGAACAGAAATATTGTGAAAATGAACTTATTAGTTTTAAATCTATAAGTGTCATTTAAAGTGAACTTGTTACAGTAGTTGGTAGTTTTCAGTGGTCGAGAATATATTTAGGAAATTTTCGTGCCGTTTATTTTGGCTTCGGATATTTTGTATAGTTGTATAATTATGTAAAAGCTTATTATCATGTGAGTTATACTTTGATGAAATCACTTTTGAAACAACAATAAACAACCTTTTGAAACTGTGAACAATATATATATATATATATATATATATATATATATATATATATATATATATATATATATATATATATATATATATATATATATATATATATATATATATATATATATATACCTAAGTGCCATGGTGGTATAACTTATTTGTATCATTTAATTTGAGGATGATTGATGTGACTTGAGTTTGAGTAGCTTAGTTGAGTGGTATTTTGAGAGTGCCTGACTTAACGTGCTCACGAGCGCTCATTCTTTTACCCCCTAGGCCCCAGGACATCCTAGTATCCTAGGTCCTAGGATGTGTTAATATCCTAGGCACTAAGGGCTAGTATTTTAGACACTAAGGGCTAGTATTCTAGACGCCCAGGGTTAGAATCCTAGACCCCCCCCCAGGGTCTAGAATTCTTCTCTGCTACATCAAAACCTTAGACCGAGCAATTATAGAATATCTTTTTTAAAACTTGACTTTTCACGATGTAAATGTGCAGTTTTATTTATTGATTTGTTGTTCATGAATAAACAAGTTCAGCGTACAGGTACACATTGCTAAAATAAAATAAAGAATTGTGCCAAATTTGACCATTTCTCAAATCTCACAAATTTCTATGCTACCCAAAACCTACTGTTGTTGGTAAATCTCCACTGATGAGATGTTTTGCTCCTGTTGATATGATGTAAGAATTTTCATTCATGGTAGATGTGTGTGTGTGTGTGTGTATATATATATATATATATATATATATATATATATATATATATATATATATATATATATATATAAGTATTATTTATTTACTATTTGTGCCTGCAGGATCGAGGTGTATGGTCGTGTGTATGGTGGTGTGTATGGTGGTGTGTATGGTGGTGTGTATGGTCGTGTGTATGGTTGTGTGTATGGTGGTGTGTATGGTGGTGTGTATGGTGGTGTGTATGGTCGTGTGTATAGTTGTGTGTATGGTGGTGTGTATGGTCGTGTGTATGGTCGTGTGTATAGCAGTAAGGTCGGGGTAAGTTTAGCACAGTCTCCCAAGCTCTACATCCCCCACACATTAGCACGCCTTACACCCACTAAGTTTTTGTAAACTTAGTGACTGCAATTAATGAATCTAAATCTAAGACTACTGTAGTTACATCCTACAGTAATTGTGGATGGAAGTCAATTTGTGTCATTCAGAAATATGTACAGTGTTCAAAATACATTGCTTTAAAATCTGTATCTTTTATTTTTTTATCTTTTTTTAAATATACATCAATTTCTGTTTGGAAATATGTTGCATTATATATATATATATATATATATATATATATATATATATATATATATATATATATATATATATATATATATATATATATCGATGGGGTATACTGCACTTCTGTGTGTATATATATACACTCAGGCTTGTCTTGAGGTATGCTGCAAGGATTACAGCATACTTGCTAATTGGTTAGTTTATTTCAAGTGGCTATAATACCCTTGGAGTTACGGCCCAATATCTAACCTAACTTAGCCACACTTAACCCAACCTAACTTAGGCAGATCGAAATATGCAATGTCTATAGTTATCAACATCTAGTCATCTAAATAAAATTAAATAAATTTATTTAGGTAAGACTGAATTGAAGATAATGGATATAAATGAATTGAAGATAATGGATATAAATGAATTGAAGATAATGGATATAACTGAATTGAAGATAATGGATATAACTGAATTGTAGATAATGGATATAACTGAATTGAAGATAATGGATATAAATGAATTGAAGATAATGGATGTAAATGAATTGAAGATAATGGATATAACTGAATTGAAGATAATGGATATAACTGAATTGAAGATAATGGATATAACACAGATAATCGGAAGGAATACAATTAGCAAAGGCAATTGATCGTCAACAGAGGCCAAACGATGCACTTGGCAGTAATGGCCGCTGTGTACACGGCCCTCGACCAACGATGAATGCTGATTGGGCGAGAGCGCAAGCACCCTGACGTTAATTGGCTGACGTACGTGCGAATCATTGCGATGTTGCCAAACCCGAACATCGGAGTGGTTTCGACTTGACCTACTGGGGTTAAAGTCAGGGGTTTGTTATGGAATCCAATTCCGTTGACTCGCAGGAAGACTTGGCAATGAGGCAGCGTTGCTCCTTGGATTATATATGTGACCAGGTATGATAGTTTGCTTCGTTATCAAGCAATAACGAAGGCTAGCCATTGACCATAAGTTTTAATTAATATGAAAGTGAAGGGACGACGACGTTTCGGTCCGTCCTGGACCATTCTCAAGTCGATTGACAATTTCCCAGGACGGACCGAAACGTCGTCGTCCCTTCACTTTCTGGTGTGTGGTCTGGTCAACACTTTAATTAATATGTCATTCCATATAACCACTTGGACTGGTCGGTATACCTGCAATCTCGCTTCTTAAAAGGTCGGAGTTCGATTCCCGGTGGCTTACATAGCTATACTGGCTTAGCACTTTCTCCTGATCCTTGCCCAGGATGCAACCCTATACGGCAGCTGACTTACTCCCGGGTACCTATTTACTGTCAGGTGAACAGTGGCATTAGGTGCGAGGAAACGTACCCAGCCATTTCTGTACCGCCTGGAGATCGACTCCGGGATTCCCGACTACGAGTCGAGAATGTAGCCACTTGCGCCAGAGGTCAAGCACCGGTGCCTAAGGGTCAAGGAGACGCCTCTCAGGTCTGCCAGTAGTAGCACCGGCTATGGTGAGCCCATAGTGGACTTACCTGGGAGCCGGTCGGCCGAGCGAACAGCACGCTGGACTTGTGATCCTGTGGTCCTGGGTTCGATCCCAGGCGCCGGCGAGAAACAATGGGCAGAGTTTCTTTCACCCTATGCCCCTGTTACCTAGCTTTAAAATAGGTACCTGGGTGTTAGTCAGCTGTCACGGGCTGCTTCCTGGGGGTGGAGGCCTGGTCGAGGACCGGACCGCGGGGACACTAAAAGCCCCGAAATCATCTCAAGATAACCTCAAGATAACCTGGCACAGGAGCGGTGCTGCCAGTGTCATCTTGCTCCTTATAACAACTCTTCAGACTCTACGTAACTATCCTTAACTATCTCTTCCATCTCATTTCTCTCGTTTATCTTACATAATATCTCCTTACGTCCCTATTGCTTATCTTGGTTTCTAATTTACAACCATGCTCTCTCGTCTTGTTATTGTTCATATAAAGTATTTAGTTCCTGTCCGCTTCGTCAATAATCCCAACAATTGTGTATGTCGTGATCATGTCACACAGACCCTTGTCTTTCCCCTCCTCAGCGCTCAGCTTTCTCTGTTCAAGAATATCATACACTGAGAGGTGTGCTGAGCCTCTGTAGAAATACTGACCCCACATTTGGGGTAACCTAACCTAAACATTGTACCATGGTGGGTGTACCATCGTGGGTGTACCATCGTGGGTGTACCATCGTGGGTGTACCAGCGTGGGTGTACCATCGTGGGTGTACCAGCGTGGGTGTACCAGCGTGGGTGTACCAGCATGGGTGTACCAGCGTGGGTGTACCAGCGTGGGTGTACCATCGTGGGTGTACCAGCGTGGGTGTACCAGCGTGGGTGTACCATCATGGTGTACCATCGTGGGTGTACCATCGTGGGTGTACCAGCGTGGGTGTACCATCATGGTGTACCATCATATAGTACCATCATGGTGTACCATCATGGTGTACCATCATGGTGTACCATCATGGGGTGCATAATAAACGAATAAAACGGAAAACAATGGATGGAGACGCATCAGGGCCGTACTACCATAAACATATATATATATATATATATATATATATATATATATATATATATATATATATATATATATATATATATATATATATATGCAGAATAACCACATATGAAAAATAGAAAATGCTTAACGCGTTTTCGGCTAATTCGCCTTCATCAGAGCAAAGTAGAATCGAGATTCTACTTTGCTCTGATGAAGGCGAATTAGCCGAAAACGCGTTAAGCATTTTCTATTTTTCATATGTGGTTATTCTGCATACTTGGATCAGTGTTTTTGTGATCATTGTTGCATATATATATATATATATATATATATATATATATATAATTTGGCAGGGTTGACAATATTAGACTCTCTCTCTTCCACCTTCCACCTCCAGCATAACGGCTGCTCCACCTCCCTCCCCCCCCTCCCTAGTTTCAACCATAATTGCACTTCAAGCCCCTTATGGTATGCAAGCGGCTGCCTCTGCTACATGGGGGGGGGAGGGAGGGGGGGATGGAAGAGAGGGGAAGGGGGTAAGGGAGAGGGAAGGAGTTGAGGAATGACAATTAAAACGCCCCCTTGCCCGCATCTGTCAACATTTTTGACCGCCTGAAATCAGTGTCGCCGAGTGGCGTTACCAGAGACCGCTGTCAAGTATTCCCAGTGTGACGTTACCAGAGACCGCTGTCAAGTATTCCCAGAGTGACGTTACCAGAGACCGCTGTCAAGTATTCCCAGAGTGACGTTACCAGAGACCGCTGTCAAGTATTCCCAGAGTGACGTTACCAGAGACCACTGTCAAGTGTTCCCAGAGTGACGTTACCAGAGACCGCTGTCAAGTGTTCCCAGCGTGACGTTACCGGAGACCGCTGTCAAGTATTCCCAGAGTGACGTTACCAGAGACCGCTGTCAAGTGTTCTCAGCGTGACGTTACCAGAGACCACTGTCAAGTATTCCTAGAGTGACGTTACCAGAGACCACTGTCAAGTATTCCCAGTGTGACGTTACCAGAGACGGTTGTCAAGTCTGTGTTACGACCATTTTAATTTATTGATTTTATTAACGACAATAATATTATTATTTTAATTGTTATTCGTCGTATGGTAATTATGCACGATCTTCTTAATTGCTGCCTCGTCCAGCCAATGGCGTGGCTGGCGGCCGTCGTCCAATAGAAATCCTTTTCCATTTGCATTCCGAGACTCTTGTGCCCTTCTTGCTCTCAAGCCTCGGTTATTGCTATATGCATAAATCTTCAGGACAAACTTAATTACAAAGTTTGAAAGGACGTAACCACCACCACCACTCGTTCCCTATCAATTGGCAGGTGGGCTGTTATGTGGAAGTGTGTGTGTGTGTGTGTGTGCGTGTGTCTGTGTGTGTCTGTTTGTGTGTGTGTGTGTGTGTGTGTGTGTGTGTGTGTGTGTGTCTGTGTGTGTGTGTGTGTGTGTGTGTGTGTGTGTGTGTGTGTGTGTGTGTGTGTGTGTGTGTGTGTGTGCGTGTGTGTGTGTGTGTGTTTGTGTGTGTGTGTGTGTGTGTGTGTGTGTGTGTGTACTCACCTGTGCTTGCGGGGGTTGAGCTCTGACTCTTTGGTCCCGCCTCTCAACTGTGTGTGTGTGTGTGTGTGTGTGTGTGTGTGTGTGTGTGTGTGTGTGTGTGTGTGTGTGTGTGTGTATGTCTGTGTGTGTGTCACGTCTGTGTGTACCCCATGTTGGCGTGTCCGTATTAGCCTCTTTCTATCTATATATGTGGTCTTGCCTAATATCACTTACCTAGCTGTGCTTGCCAGGGTTGAGTTTCAGTCCCTGGTCCAGTTGTTGTAA